TTTTCTAAACCTTCTTACATTCTCATTGAAATGGAAAGGTTAAAAGAAGATGGTTAATTTCTGTTTATAAATCAGCAGCTGGACAGGAAAGCGTCCCTGGGAGCTGAGCAGGCTGTGTGCGGCTTCACAGGCTGAAAGGGAAGCAGCATCCACTGCCCACCAGATGCCACATCCCCTTCTCACCTCCCCCCTCACTGGCTGGAGTTACCACATGGTGGTGGCACATGGACTGCTGACCAAACCAGTGCCCACCCAGATGCAACAAGAGTGAAAGGGCTGCCCAGAGTGTCTCCTGGCTGGGAAGGAGTGCCAGGAGAAAGCAGGGATGGCAAAGGGCCAACTGCAGCCAGCAACAGGCGGGGGGGGGGGAGAGACAGGGGTCGAGGGTGCCCTAGGTGCCTGCAATGGAATGCAGCTCCCTGGGATGGGATGGGATGTGGTTGGACTCCCCATGGCCAGTTCGGGTCCTGCCTGAAGGGACCCCTGCTTGAAGGAATGGGCACCGGGGGTCTTCCTGCCACCAAGCCAGCCCACACAAAATGCCCCAGCCTGGGCTTCTGCAGTGTCCTCTGTTTGAAGTGCTGCTTCCTAACTTAAGAAGGGAGCCAGATGAGTCAAGGCTGAGCTGCGCTACTCCCAAAAAAGGTGCCTGGTGGATGAGGTCCATGCCTAAAAGCCCCTGCAGACCCAGGATGAGCCTTGCGGTGGCGGCAGGTTGAGTTTCCCATCAGGAAAACTTCCGCGCAGCTCTGGGACAACTTAGCAAAGCTGTACGAGGCCCTTCCCGGGAAACTGGTGAGTGAGCAGGCAAGCTGCAACAAGTGGTAAGGAAAGTGAGCCCTGGGCCATCATCCCTGCCTCCTTCCAATGAGGGCCAGGTTGGGGGATGACAAGCCTCCCCTGCTGCTGTGCCTCACCATCCATGTATAACTTCTGTCAGCAGGGTGTCTCCCATTTTGCCTCACTTTCTCCACTGCTGCAGTTCTTGGAGGAAGGAGGAATGGATGTTGGCCCAGGAGCTTGCTTCCCTTATCACTCGTCACCGCCACCCCTGCTGAACAGAGGCCAGGCCAATATTAGACAATATTTCCTGGAGGGTTCACATAAATGTAAAAGAATGAGAGTGAAAAGGACCAATTCCTGCAATAAATCAGTTGCCGCCACTTATCTCCCACATCAACAGACAAGAATAATACATGGCAGTAGGAGAAAAAAACACCATTACAAAGTTCTAATTCTAGAAGTGGCCCAAGAAGATATCATGGCTGATGGTATCAATAGGTTTAAGAGGGGGAAGAATGGGGCATTAGACGCATTCAAGACCTGATGTAGGTTACCCAAAAGAATGACCAAATGCATCTGTCAGTGTGATATCTGAGCTGACAACTGACTGAAATGGATCTAGATCATGGGTGTCAAAGTCAATTTCATGGAGGTCCACATTAGGGTTGTGTTTGACATTGGGAGGCTGAGGTGGGCATGACCAGGGGGCATGGCCAGGGTGGGCATAGCCAGCTTGACATCATTCAGCGAAGCTCCATTTTTGGCTGCAACAGCGTCCTCCATCCCTCTGCCAGCAAAAATGAAGCTCGGTGGAGGCTGCGCATGATCAGTCCAGGTTTTGTTTCTGGCCACAATGGTCTCCTTCAGCCCTCTGCCAGCAAAAACGGAGCTCCCTGAGGAGGACGAGGCTGTCATGTGTGAAAATGGAGCCTGGGAGAGATAAATGCTGTGATCCTGAGCTCTGTTTTTACTGGCAGAGGCCAGCCTTTCATTGTTTCCAGGAAGCCCAATAGGCAAAATCTAAGCACCCTGAGGGCCAGATCTGGCCCNGAATTTGTCTCTGGTTTACAAGCTGTGTACATACAAGCAGCAAGTGATAAATTATGATCATAATAATAAAATACAGGAGGAACAAAGAAGAGAAAAAAAGAGAGAAAGAAAGACAGAGAGAAAGGGAGAGAAAGAAAGGGAGAGGGAGTAAGAGAGAAAAACAAAGAAAGAGATAAATAAAGGGGGAGAGAAAGATAAAGAGATAAATAAAAACACAGAGAGAAAGAAGGATAAAGGAGGAAAAAAGAGAGAAATAAAGACAGAGAGAGAAAGAGAGAGAGAAAGATAAAAAGAGAGAAATAAAGAGAAAGAGAGAAAGAAAGAGAAAAGGGGAGAAAGAAAGAAAGAGAAAGAAAGAGAAATAAAAACAGAGAGAGAGAGAAAGAAAGAAAGAGAGAAAGAAAGAGAAAGGGGGGAGAAAGAGAGAAATAAAGACAAAGAGAGAAAGAGCGAGAGAGAAAGATAAAAAGAGAGAAAGAGAAAGAGAGAAAGAAAGAAAAAAGGGGAGAGAGAAAGAAAGATAAAGAGAGAAATAAAAACACACACAGAGAGAGAAATAAAGAGAGAAAAAGAGAAAGAAAGAGAAAGGGGGGAGAAAGAAAGGAAGATAAAGACAGAAAGAGAGAAATAAAGACAGAGAGAGAAAGAGAGAGAAAGAAAGAGAGAAAGAGAGAGAAAGAGAGAAAGAAAAAGGGGAGAGAGAGAAAGAAAGAAAGATAAAGAAAGAGAAATAAAGACAGAGAGAGAAAGAGAGAGAGAAAGAAAGATAAGAAAGAAAGAGAAAGAGAGAGAAAGGG